TGCTTCCCTCCCCCTTGCTCTTCGCCAAACGAGAAAAGCCGTTAATGCTCTTCGTTCAAGCGGCCAGGGTGTACAGCATAGTTCCTATTGTCCACTGATTGCGCCTTTATCTGCTTTGCAAAACTGAAGGATTTCTACGAATATTTTCATGCTAAACTTTAAAACTCAAGCCGGAAAACATACATTTTCGGTAATTTCTTATTGGGCATATACACTTACATACAAAACCAGCATATCAGAGGTTTATAAGGTTTGTAAAGATCTCATAGTGAATACGCATAGTTCCCACATCACCTGCATGGCCAGGTTGGCGTGTTGACGTCATTGGAACTGGAGGAGGGGGGGGTTAGGGTAGGGTGTGATCAATGTTCTTACTGTGAGTGTGGGGAATGAACATTATTTTCATGACCTACGGAAGGAGGAGGTAGGAACGGCGTGTGACTAAGATCGATTTCATTTATTGATCGCATGCCACCCCCCCCCACGGCCTGTCACTCCGCGTACTTGAAAGTGATGTTTAGTCCCCGTACTCGATTTACAACTATCGTTCCCACCATACTCCCCATCCTCCCTTGTAAAGCACAGAACACCTATCCCTCATCCACGAAACCTTAACTGCGTTAAAGAAACCAGCGTTCTCCAAATGAAAATCTCGTTTGATTTATCACTTATTACGTATTTGCCTTTGAAACTAAGCCGCCACTTTTTTTCTCCTCTCCGTTTGCAGGCAAATTTCCTATCTATACACCGGTTGGACCATTGTGGCCATGATAAACCGATTTTTAACCCTCTTTGTTTATTTGAATTACATCAATGGGGTCACTGGCGCACGACGCTCGCGCCGTTTTGAAAGAAGTCCAATTTGGCAACTCATTCAAGGACGATGTTGATAGTTGCAGTGCTCGACCATTATGCATAGCTGGTGAACTTTCGGTGTTATGTGGTTTGTGTGCCTAATTTTGTTCACAGAAAATGGAGGAGGTTTTTGCTGAAAATGTTGTAATTATATTTTCAAAATGAAGCGTGTCTCTCTCAACCATAAACTCAAAAGGTGACATTGTGGCTAGTAAGGTATTTAAGGCCAAATTCGACGTTTGCGTGCAAAATAGCTGTGGGCACAGAGGCTACGAAGTTGGCACTTGAAACCACATCAACAGGGAAGGCTTTAGTACAGCCAAAGCTCTACCAATTGAGCTAAGAAGGCAGGTGGAAGCCTTGAATTTTGTGACATTTCGGTCGATTTAGTTGCTTGAATATGTGGGCCTCGCCGATCTGGTTAAGGAACATGTGTTAGGATATTAGCCAGACCAAACGCTAGCAACGTTTGGAGGTTTTCCAAAGGCGTAAAGCCTAGCCAAATGTCTTTGTTGGTTAGCCCTGATCGCATACAGGCGTGACTGTCCACGCAAGATGACCTTAACCTCTGCGCGCTACTGGTCGCAGTTGTTCCAATGCGCCAATCAGGCTATAGGCGAACGCGCACTAGACACTCTCTTATAAGACACTGTCCTCCTGACACAGGGAGAGTTGCAGCCACACCGAACAGCAGACGTCAGTCCGCTCCCAATGCCGGGCCTGCCCCGAGACGGGACAAAGAGTGCGCTCGAGATCCAACGAGCGGCAACAGCCACCCGAAACAGCTCCTCCGGGTTTTGTACACAATAAACCCTCCTCTGGGTGGATTCCAGGATTATGCCCTTCTTATTGTGTTCTTCCTTGGGGATTTCAACAGGGCGTAATT